CCTCCAGGAACATGATTCGGTAGTTCCCCGATTCACGCTTCTCCTCTCCGTGCCGGTCATCATCGGACACGGAGCCTTCACGACCAGGACCCAAACCGGCCCTACGTCGTGGGATCGCGGCGAGCACCGCGCTCATTACGACAGGAATGGCGATACTAAATAGGCAAGCCGGCTGGCTCGGGCCAAATGCTCGTGCGGAGGCCGCAAATCCTTAAGTCCGAAATGCGCCCGGATTTTAGTCATCCCGGGGACGCTGAAAGTCTTGGTCAATCCGTCAGCGCGCTGCTCGTCAGTGGGCACGTGCCTCAGATCGAGCAGCTTTGCCTCTAGCGCGGAGGGCCGCGGCACGATTGGCCAAGCAGCGGGTTCTCCATGACCCTGCCCGTTAAAAATACAAGGCTAGCCGAGTTGTCACCCCACATTTTGGTGACCTCCGGCTGCACGAGCATCGAATTCAAGACGGTTTCGGTGCCCGCCAGCACCAGCCCGCCCATTGCCAGAGCGGTTACCTCCGCCTCGACGGTGCTGCGCGGAGGTTGAGGCTGCTTCGAGGAGCGCCAATCGAGGAGGCAATCGTGAACATATGCTGCAATGCCTGTCTGCGCAAATTCTGGCGCGAAAGACGCGTCGGCGTAAATCTCTAAAGACGCCCTCCCCCAGGCCTAAAACTCAAACCGTAGTGGCGCGTGCCAGCGGGATACCTAAGAGTCCACTTTCCTAGGCGAAGGGCCCAATGGGGATGAGCAGCGACAGCAGACGCGACGCGCGAAACGGCAAAAGCAATGTCCGACCGGGTACGGCCCGAAAGCCAAAGGAGCTTGCCTGACATCTTCTGTGCAAGCCTCATGTCCGCGATCTCCGGCTCCTCCTGGCCCTGCAGCTCCGGATCGCCGGCCGGCAGCGGCTCGATGGCGATCGTGCCGGCGGAGTTGCCGCGGTCCAGGCCCCACTTCTCAAGGAGGTCGTTGGTGTACTCGTACTGGTGCACGTAGTACCCGTCTGGGCGAGCCTCGATGGACAGGGAGAAGTACTTGATCGATGGTCCCAGGAGCGCTACATGAAATCAGCGATTGTAAACTGCACCTCCACGTCTCCGACATCACGCGCCCGAGCTCCGACACCACCGCATCAGGACCGAAAATGGTGAAGTCGTCGACGTAGACGCACACGTATCCCATCACCTTCCCGGACTGATTGACGACGGACCACAAGGACGGGTCGACGTGCGACTTCTTCAGCGCGCATGTCTCGCCAAAAAGTGGATGCTCATGCCCCTCATCTGGCGATCCCTCTTGTCGCTATATCGCCTGCCGCTCGCGCCAAAGTTCCCCTGGCCGGATCAAGCCAAACTGGCTGAAGATCGCCGGGGGTCGAATTGCGATGTCGCCCACCTCCTCCGGCAGAGGCGCATTGAGGAAGGCGGTGGCGACGTCCAGCGCGGAGCAGCTCCACCTCTGGGCCGCTGCGACCGCGAGCACCAGGCGAAGGCTCGAAGCATCAATGTTCCCGCTGTACACGTACTCGTTAGCCCTCCGTTCCTGGTGGTTACCGCAGATGCAAGCGCGCTCCTTCTTGCTGCGCTCCAGCTCCGCTGCTGCCGGCGGCTTCGTCCCAGCATCGACCTTCATGGGTCATGGGTATGATCTTGCTCTTAGGGACCCTCGCTGCCTCCGCCTCGCCGAGGACCTCGAACGCCTCCTTGGTGCGAAGGCTGGTGAGTTCGCTGTCGAGCGCAAGTCGCCAGCCCTCCCGCTCGGCCCCGAAACTCGCGCGGATCTCGGCAATCGACGTCGGCTGCAGCCCGGACTCCTCCTCGATCTCTTGGAAGGCGGGGATGTCGGCGTCGCTGTCGTCGTAGTCGTCACCGTGCTCGTCGTCAATGCCGTGGGCGCGACTCCGGGCATAGCCTGCTGCATGCAGGCTCGGATGCCGCGGGGGCCGGAGGCAGCACGATGGCGGCGGCTGCCGCCGAAGGCCCAGCCTCCTGAGCTGCTGGCCCGCCGGCTGCTGCACCAAGGCGGCACCGCTCGTCGTATGTGTGCCGCCGATGCCGGCCGCGGCACGCAGGGCACGACCACGCAGCTGCCTCGTGCGGTCCTCCCTCGAACATGCCGTCCTCAGGGAGCCGCACCGGCTCACCCTTGAGACAGTATTTGTCCTGGGTGTGCGCACGTTTACGGCCCAAGCGCGCGGGGCAGCGCACCTCGGGAGGGACCTCGAATCTGAGAGGATCCTGATGCTGCTGCTGCTCCTCCTCCTGATCCCCCTGAGGCGCCGCAGCTGCCGGCGCGACGTGGCTGTTGTCTGCGCCTGCGGCGTGTCTTCTGTTTCCTCCCCTGTCCCCTCTCACTTTGTGTCTGTCGTGTCCGTTCCGCAGCCCATTTGGGTTTAGGTTTCATGATGCCTCCTGACGGAGGGTAGAGGTGCTCTCTCGGTCCCAGGAAGAAAGGTACCGCTCTCTCGTCTCAGATCGCATGTCTCGCGACGGTGCTAACAATGGTAAGCGGAGCGATGGCGCGGACTGTGACGACGGGGGCAACTCACTTCCAGGGGCTGGGGGAGACCAGCCGTCGGCAGCAACAGCAGGAGCCGAGCAAGGAGCAGGGTCCGAGGACCCTTGGAAGGACGCCGTGACATGGTGGGGTCTGTGGACACCATGGTGGAAGGCCTCCGGCGGCAAGTGGAAGTGGACCCCCGACGGTGACGGCGACGACGACGCGAAGTCATCACGGGACGGATGGGGGAAGTTGGCGGCGAATGGAGAGTCAATCGTGGGACGACTATCGCCCACAGTGGGAGGAGCGCCCGAAGGATTTCTCAGCGCCGCCTGCTTTCCACGGCATGGAGAATCTGCAGCTCTATCGCGACAGTTCGAATTCCTGGCAGCTGAGAACAGGGTACAAGCCTCGTAACCAGGCCGGGCAGGTACTTGAATCTTTGCCGATCGAGCTTCAGGCTAAGTTCAGGGCCTTGAGGCACGAGCTAGACCAGGACGATGGGCTAGACAAGCTGGGGGAGAGGCTGGGGGACAAGGAGCGCGAGGCCCAGAATCGCGCGCTGTTCGACTTCAAGATCCGCACAGGCGAGTCGCTGACTGAGTTTGTGGTGCGCCGGGGCACCCAGGTCAATGAGGCGCAGCGATTTGGCCTCGCCCTGCCTGATCAGCTGCTCGCAGGGTACTACGAGGAAGGATCTATGCTACAGGGACAGATGAAGGTGAACATGAGAACGCTTATGGGAGAAGATACGTCACTGAAGTCGGTGAGAAGGGCTCTTCTAGCGATGGACGTTCGAGAAAAGACAGTGCTGCCGCTGCTGGCGCCGGGCCCCTCCAGGACGCATGCCGAGGCGCCCCCGGGCCAAGGGCCCGACGAGGAGCAGCAGACTCTCGAGGAGTCGTTCGATCTGTTCGGGGTCGAGTTCTCGGACGAGGAGGCCATGGCCCTCCTGGCAGCCATAGACCAGCAGAGCTTAGAGGAGGACCAGGCCTACCAGGTTTTCGCAGATGTTGCCGAGCCAAGGCGTCGACGGACCTGGCAGGAATCAAAGGGCATGAAGAATGCTCGTCGAGTGGATCGGAATTTCTTCGACAGGAAGCGAGGCGGGGCCCCTCCACCCCCGAGGGCGGGTTTTCGGAGGATCTCGAGGCGCGACCTGAAGCGCAGGTCGAGATGCGCGAACTGTGGCGAGAAGGGACACTGGCGAGACGATTGTAAGAAGGCGTGCCGTCCCAAGTCGGACCGACTCAAGGCCGAGAAGGAGCCGGGGACCATCGGTGCGAGCCCCTCGTTCTTCTTCGCGGCTGACGGCTTCGACGAGACCGGCGGCTCGTGGATAGTTGGCTGGATCGACTCTCTGGATGGCGTGAGCAGCTGGGCGACCTTGAGCGGCAAGCGCCTCGACGAGGCTCTGGCATCTGTCTCGCTGCGTTCGACGGGTCCGCGCGGCCTGGTAGACACGGCGGCGGGGCAGGCCCTCGTCGGCAAGGAGGGCCTGGACAACTTGATTCGCGCATTCGACGAGTGAAGTTTCGTGGCCCACGTGAGCTACGAGGGCGACTTCCCGAAGGCCAGCGGGGTAGGCGGCAGCGCCATGCCGTTGGCCAAGGCCCTGGTGCCCGTGTCTCTCTGCGGCTGCGGGGTGATTGAGTTTCTTGTACCTCCGCATCGGTGCCCACCGCTGCTGCCGGCTAAGTTCCTGGACACCTGAAGGCGGTCGTGGACGTGCCGGGCAACAAGCTGAAGCTAGGCGACGGCGCCGAGCGGGGCCTCATTAGGCTTCCGACCGGGCATCGGGCAGTTAACCTGATCGGGTGTGCGCCTCGCGAGTTCAAGATCGATCCGAGCATAGCCGGCAATTTCCCGTCGTTCATCACGGAGACTGCGACTTTCGTCGAGACAAGCGATCCTGAGAATGACGAGTTGGACACCCGGGAGGTCATTGGCCCAGTCTTGAGGCGCCACCACCACCGGCCCAGGAGAACCATGTTCACGCCGAAGCAGGTGGCAGGCAGTCCCATGGACGTGAACCAGCTCGGCCCCAGCAGGAGGACCACCTGTAGCTACGTGGACCGGCGCGACGTGGAGCAGAAGCAGGAGTTCGTGAGCGACGGGATGGATCGTGAGTCGGCGCACCTAGCGATGCCTTTCTACTGGGTCGGCCACGCCGAATTCGACATCGGGGGTGAGTTCAGCGCGGTCGTTGAGGACCGCGGCCCGGCCCGCGCGCCAGAGTGCCAGCAGTTAGTCCCCTCCTCCTCCTCGTTCTCCGCTCGTTCCTCCCAGGCAGGAGACAGTCTCGGGGCTACTCGTGGGGAGACGTCTGGGGAACGGCCCGAGAAGGCCTCTGTAGCCCCTCAGGGCTCGAGCAAGTTCACGCCTTCGGGACCTTCCCTTGCCCCATCAGCTTCAGCGGGCGCCGATGTCTTTTCAGTAGGTGCGGCAGGACCGCCTCAGGCAGCGTCAGACGACGGACGGGGCCAGGACCGTCGGGGCGCTCAGGTCGAAGGCGAAGATGGCCGTGATCAGCGAGGAGACCGACGACAGCGACATGGAGGCGAACTGGGACATGCCAGCCGATCCGTGGATCGACGGGAGTCTCAAAGTGCTCGACCTGTCGGAGGAGACGATGGGCCCAGTCGAGCTAGAGTTGTTGTGCGAGGGGAACTTCCTGCTGGTCCCGGCGGTCGCCGCTTGGGGGAGGGTCGGGTCCAAGCTGCTCGCGCTGCTACACCTCGTGACCTCGACTCGCACGCTGAAGGCTCTGGCCCCGGGAGCAGCCAACATCGCGCCGATCGACCCAGGCCCGAAGAAGGACCTGGAGGGCAAGTGTGCCCGATGGAGGCTCGAAAGCGTGGCGGGAGCCAGTGCGGGATTTTCGTCCACTGCACGATCTGCAAGGAGCGTCTCTCCATGCGTCGCAAGTCCAAGAAGGGGATCGAGGAGGCCCGCCAGGTCAAGAAAGAGGAGAGGGAGCGTGCCGCAAGAGCCATCAAGGAGCTCAAGAAGGAGATGAACGAGCCGCGCGAGTCCAGCTTCCCGCCCTTCGCTCGGAAGGCCGAGCCCGTGGCCAGGTTGGGTCCCCGAGGGGATAGCGGTGCCGATGAATCCCCCGCCTCCGGGGGCGCCGCCTCCGAGGGTCAAGGCGGCGGCCAAGTCGGGCTCCCCGGCGAAGGTGGAGCAGGATGCGCCTATCGTGGTGGGCCACCAGTCCGTGCAGGAGCAGGTCGAGGGGCTGCGTCAGACGATGATCCAGCAGCAGGACCCAGGCCTTGCCGGCCAGCTGAGCGAGCTGACGGGCCTCCTGCGCGCGCTGGTCGCCAGCCAGACGGGCGGGCCGAGCGGACCGGGCGCTCAGAGGTACTAGTTGAGGGCGGACCCGCTCGAGCTAACGAGGGCGAGGCTCGAAGCAGCCGTGTCGAGGCTGGCGGCTTGCGACCCCGGGCGTTGGCTGCACTCACGCAAAATGAACCAGAGCCCTCAGTCTTGCAGTCGACCATCTTTGCTCTCTCGGATCTTCCGCTCCGTCGGGAGTCTCCCAGGGGCCGGGGCCGCGAGCTCCTGGACTGGGAAAGGCCTCCGGGCCCCGGACGGGATCAGGTCCCGGCGGGGCCTCCCGCGGAAGAGCTGGAGGAGCTGAGGGGGTCTGGGGCGCTTTTTCGGGGCGTCGAGTTCCCCTCGACGAGCTGTGCGATCGGGCCGGTTGGGTCCGGCCCATGCTGGGCCCTCTTCGGAAGGCCTCCTGGCTGGTGGATCTGGCTCTGAGCGCGTGCGGGTCGAAGCTGTCCCCCTCATCGGGTCTCTTGGGAAACGTTCGGAGGATCAGAGTCGAGGGGGGTGGGTGGCGGGGGGGGGGGCCAGCGATGATCGAGCTGGTCGACGCGCCGTGGACCTCGATGTCTGCGGCGGAGTTGGCGCAGGCGCAGGCCCTAGCGGGCCATAGCAGCGAGCGCCTCGAGATCAGCATATGGATTCGGTCCAGGCCCCAGGAGGTCTCGGCCCTATTCATCACGGAGACCGAGGAGGATATTATGGCGAAGGCCGGGGTCCCAGCGTCCAACCTCTGTCAGTCGTGGGTCGTCTTCGATCGGAGTCGGCTTCCAGGCGAGGCCTCCGAGGGGCCGACGGTGCCGAGGCAGGCGAGGCACCCAGAGGTCCTAAGAACCTCAAAAAGTACCGGACGAACCGAACCACAGGCAAAACGTAGTTCATCAGCAAGAAACGTAGGATCGTAACAAAAACGTAGTCTATCGACAAAAACATAGTTCATCGGAAACACCATTTGTATTAATATATACATGATATACATATATACATGGTATATGGATGTAGTGTATATGTGTTTATATAATATACATCGTATATGAAAGCATGTATGCATGTGTGCAAGGTATGACGCATGTGTGTCTGTGATGATGTATTGATTAGACGTTGCGTTGGGCCATCCTCTCCCCCTCGTGCCTCTCATCCTCGCGGCCCTGCCCTTGCCCACCACTGCCGCTCCTCAGGCGGGGGGGGGTCCCGCGGGCCGCGGGATCGGGCGACGAGATCTATGTATATCCACTGCTCTCTGGTCGGGCACTCCCTCCCGACCCACCCAGGAGGGCGCGGGGGTGGACCTGGCCAGGGAGAGGTGGATATATTATAGATTTCGTCGCCCTATGGGGAGCGGCCCCACATGGCCGACATCGAGTCGGCCGCCGAGGACTGGGACAATGGCCCAGCCGCGGTCGCCAAGGCGGGGTGGAGGAGGTGGAGGAGGAGGAGGATGAAGAGAAGGAGGAGGAGGAGGAGGAGGAGGAGGAGGAGGAGGAGGAGGACAAGGAGGAGGAGGAGAAGGGGGAGGAAGAGGAGGAGGGGAAGAGGGAAGAGGAGGAGGGGAAGAGGGAAGAGGAGGAGGACGGAGAAGGAGGACAAGGAGGACGGAGGAGGAGGACGAGGAGGAGAAGGATGGCAAGGAGGACAGGGAAGACGCACCCCCCAAGCCTGCAGGCCCTGCTCCCGCACTTCAGCCCCGACGGCAATTTCTCCCCGTACCCCAAGAATAGGAATGCCGTCGGGGTCAACTCGAGGATATTGGCCGAGGACAGCAGGGGATGCCAGGGAATTGAAACCAGCATCTATGTTTTTTTTATTCTATTTTATGGTTTGTGTGTTTCGTCGTGTTGTGTTTGGTCCCGAGAGGCCCTGGGGCCAGAGAAATCCCTTTGGGCCCGTGGGTAATGAGCAATGGTGAGGTTAAGGAATACGATGGGGAAAGGCGCGCGTAGGGAGGAGGTGGCGAAGGAGGAGGGGGGGAAGAAACATGAGGAGGGGGAGGAGGAGGCGGAGGAAAACGCTGCAAGAATGACAGGGGCACGAAAGGGGTGAGGGGAGTACTCAGACATGCTGAACGATCTCATCGGCGTCGTCCGCAGCCGCCGCCTCACACAGAAGGTGATGATTCAGGCCCTGAAGCTCGTGCATGACTTGAAAGGTTATCAATTCTCAGACAAGGTGCGATAGGGGGGGGATTGCAATCCCCTATCGCCCTCCATCCCCTCCCCCTCCCCCTCCATCCCCTCACCCTCCCCCTCCCCCGCCATTCTCCAAGCATGGGCCCTCCATCCCCTCCCCCTCCCGTCATGCCCTCCGAACGGCGGTGGGAGGTGCGAGAAGGCTGGCAAAAAGTGTATTCTATGAGGCTGCGGACGGCGCTGAAGCATATACGTGAAACAGGACAGCGGCGAGCGCCGTGCCCAGGGGGATGGGAGGGAGAGCGGCGCAGGGCGTGGAGGAGTAGAGGGAAGAGGGATCGAATGAGTGACGGGAGGAGGGCGAGACGATGGGCAGGGAGTGGGAGAGACGTGGGAGGGGCACGGGAAGGGGGGGGAGAGAGAGAGAGAGAGAGAGAGAGAGAGAGAGAGAGAGAGAGAGAGAGAGAGAGAGAGAGAGAGAGAGAGAGAGAGAGAGAGAGAGAGAGAGAGAGAGAGAGAGAGAGAGAGAGAGAGAGAGAGGAGAGAGAGAGAGAGAGACGAGAGAGAGAGAGAGAGAGAGAGAGAGAGAGAGAGAGAGAGAGAGGGAGAGAGAGAGAGAGAGAGAGAGAGAGAGAGAAGAGAAAGAGAGAGAGGGAGAGAGAGAGAGAGAGAGAGAGAGAGAGAGAGAGAGAGAGAGAGAGAGAGCGAGAGAGAGATAGCGACGAGAGAGGGATCGAGAGAGATATATAGAGAGACAAGGGTGAGAGCGAGTGAGAGCGAGCGAGAGAGAGCGAGAGAGAGAAAGTAAACCGCTTGAAAACGAGAGGGAGCGAACGAGATAGAGAGAGAGATACCTATATACCTAGATGGGGAGAGGGATAACGAAAACGAGAGAGCGCGAGTGACAATGGGAGAGGGAGCGAGAGAGAAAGAGAGAGAGAGAGAGAGGCAAAAAGAGAGAGAGCGCGAGCGAGAGACCGAGAGAAGGAGATGAAGGAGGGGGAAACGAGGGAGGGGGAAAGATGAGGGAGCGAGCGAGAGAAAGAGATGTTCGAGAGAGCTATATAGATATAGAGGTAGATAAAGAGTGAAAGAGAGAGAGAGAGAGAGAGAGAGAGAGAGAGAGAGATAGAGAACGATAGAGCAAGGGGCGAGAGAGCGAGGGGCACCCCTCACAGAAGGACGACGCCGACCGAACACTGCCTGGCTGGCACCGTTCAAAAAGAACCTGCGGAAAGCTGCCCGAGAACGGAAAGATGGTGCTGGCGATGGCGGAGCGGAAGAGAGCGAGGAGGAGGCGCAATCTGATGAGGAGAACGGTGAAGAGGACCAGGAAGAAGGAGAGGAGGAGGAAGAGGGAGTGGCAGATGAAGAAGAGGAGGCGGAGGAGGAGGAGGAGGAGGAGGAGGAGGAGGACATCGACGACTGCGCGGAGGAGCCCGAGAACGCAACAAAGAAACGCCCGTCTGCGTGCATAGGAGCGCCAGCGATGAAACGACCAGCCCTGATGAGACCAGCCGCGTACGACCAGCCAGCCCTGAAGAAACCAGCCGCAGCCGACGCCGAACCAGCGTGCCCACCACCGCTAGCGACTCCTCCACGCTCCACAGCCGTGGCCAAAGCTAGCCCACTCGAGTTCAGCGCGATCCCAGATTCGCCGTATGAGCTGGCGGTGCAACGGCTGCAGGGCGGGTCACAGCTGGCAGACGGCGCCAAAGTGAAAGCACCACCTACTACGAAGCCCCCGCCTCCAGCAACGCCACCTACTACGAAGATGCCTCCGCCTCCAGCAATCCCACCTACTACGAAGTCGAGGCCTCCAGCCATCCCACCTACTACGAAGTCGGAGCCTCCAGCAAGCTCGGGTGCACATGGGCCGCCGACTGCAACGAAGGCTTCGCCGCCGATGCCGTCCAGCGCCAGTTCGGAGTGGCAGGTCAAGTTTGACAACCAAAAGAAGGAGGCCAGCTTGCGTCTGAAGGTGGCGAAAAAGAGGTGGGGGCCGCCCGAGTACAGCCATGAGTTCTTCGAACATGAGGGTAAAGTGAAGTGCAAGTTCGACTCAGGCACGTACGAGATCCCAGAGTTGACCCCCGCCGACTTGCCCGTGATCGTTCGCGCCAGGGAGGAAGCACTTGCTCGTCGGAGGGGGCCGCTCTGGAAGTACTTGTGGGGGGGGGACATGCTCAAGATCAGCCGCCTGAAGGACAGGCACCCCATGTTGCAGCTCTCCCAGAACTCGAAATCCGTGTGCCAGGTTGTCTTGCGCGGGATCACAGAGCCCGACGCGTTGACGGTTCTCATCTCGGTGGCGGACGGTTGGATCGCAGGACGGGGGGGAAGTGCTGCACTGACGTATGAAGGTGGAGGGTTGTCGGCCTTGCAGATGCATGATGGCGTGTCCGTCAATCGCTGCTAGACCAACTCAGCCTGAGCTATAAAAGCCAAAATGGCCACGAGTGTTGTAGGGGATGAGGAGGGGGGGAAGGAGGAGGAGGAGGAGGAGCGGAGGTTGGGCAGGCAAGTACAGCAAGGAGGACCTCTACACGGAGCGTGACAAGCTCCTGAAAGGCGGGGCAATGGGGGGAGGCCGTGCATGTTGCATGTCATCTGCAACGGCACGGGCGGGATGCGGGGGAGAAGCGTGGGCGCGAGAGATGGCGGAGTAGGAACGGAGCGCAGTGTAACGCATGTGCACCACGGCGGCGGAGGAGGGGGGGAAAGAAAGGGGCAGGCTACAAGAAGGACGATGACACAGACTGAGCTGGGCTACGACTCGAGTTGAGTTGGGCCATTACGTGCGTATCTTATTTGGGATGGTGCATATTACTATTCCAGTTCTGCAGCTGCGAATTGTACGCTCTGCACCTGTGCTGCGCACGTTCGCTTGAAAGTGTTTCGCCAGTAGCGC